AAAGATTTCGAGGTTGTCTCTAACAGAGGAGGGGCGAGCGAGCTGACAATCGAGTAGGCGAACTTGATTCGGGAGAGGAAGAGAGACACCAGCACACATAATCGTGTGCACGCAGGACAGCACGAGAGCAAGTGCGCAGGCATGCGATCCTAACCACTGCATGCAAGCAGGCTGTCGTGGACGTGATTCCACGGGGATCAGTGCGTGCGAGAAGGGCGAGCGAGCAGTGGCAGTTGACGCTGGCGCTGCTTAGCGAGATGTGGGATGGCGAATCTGGAGCCCGACGCGATGCGCACGACAAGGGCGAACAGGGGCAGCGTAGTGTGGTGCTGCTCGGCGATATGCGCAAGGTAATGTTGAAGCCCAGCGCCATGTTCACTACCGCGACGGGATCTGCACGTGCGAGACAGGCAAGCAGCCGCAGCATGCCTCGTCGCCGCTCTGCGCGACGTGGGAGGCAGAACTGAAGCGCGCCCGGCGTCATCAGCCACAGCGCCCAGGATCGGCGCATCGCCCTTGGCCGCATGATCTTCTTCTCCGCTGCCGATCCCCGCCTCTCCCCGGCCCTCCTTTAGTAGTCCCTAAGCGTGTCGGTGACAACACCCGGCGGTGAGTCTCGGGCGCCTTGGTGTCACCACCCGGTGTGAGGACTCGTGCGGTTTTTCGAGCACGTCCCGAACGCTGGTGGGCCCAGGAGTCACAACAAAACCCGGCGGCGGCCCCGTGTTCCGAACCCCAGCGGTGACTTGTGGGGGGTTCCAGGTCACCACCTGGCATCTCACCACCTGGCTGGGGGGCTCCCAACTTCTGCCTGGTCTTTCAGCCGGGAGCGTCCCTCTGCAGGAAGAGAATCTTCAAACATGGTCAAAAACTAGTCGGGAGACGACTGTGGAGTATTTTCTTGAATCTGTTGGTGGACTGTGTACTCCAGATTTCGTAATAAAGGGAGGGGGGTCTCATTTCGGGGGGAGGTCTCTTCCAGGCTATCTTGGAGGGCCTGGGGGGTCTGGGGACGATGCTTTGGAGGGTTCTCCCACGGGGGAGGTCTGAAAGGGCTTGTCTTGGAGGGTCCAGACCCCCCCCTTTTATTACGAAATCTGGTGTATTGACCTGTGCTTTTTTTATCGTCCAACATCCGCCGGTAGGGGGACCTGCCCGACCCAAGGGCGGGGTCGAGCAGGGGCACGACGCGCCGGCGCGCCCCCCGAGTGGCACCCCGGGCCCGTCGCCGAGGCCACCGGCTGCCTCCCCGTCTCTCTCTTCTCGGGTCGGGCGAAAGGGGGGGTTTGGGAAAGGGGGGGTACGAAATCTGCTGCATGCAGCTGGTTTCGGCCCCGCCGAGGGGCCCCTTCCTCGATACATGGTCGCCTCCGGCGCCGGGAGGCGCCGGGAAAATCAGCTACGGGAGCTGAGTCTCAGACCCCCCTTTTGCTGTCCCCCCCTTTCGCCCGGCCCGATCTTCCCCCTCGGCCGCCTCTGCGCCGAGCAGGCGCGCACGTCGGCGGCGAGCGAGGGGGGGAGGATCTCGAGGAGGAGGAGGGACGATCTCAAGGAGGAGGAGGGAGGAGGGACGATCTCAAGGAGGAGGAAGGAGGAGGGAGGATCAAGGAGGAGGGAGGATCAAGGAGGAGGGAGGAGGACGGGCCTTCTCCGAAGGCTCGGAAGTCCCGGGGGCTACTGAGAAGCTGTTTTTGTTTGAAAGCCCTCCCCGAAGACGCGGAACACTTCTTGGAAGGCGCGAGGGCTGCTGAGAAGTCTCGCCGCTTTCTGAGGGGACGCCTTCTCCTTCTCATGTACCCCCCTCGCTCGCCGCCGAGCACGAGCAAGCGAGAAGCGGCAGCGGGAGCTGCGGGTGGCGGGAGGGCCAACACAAAATTGAAGTCGGGCGTGCCCCTCTACAGGATGAATTTTCAAAAAATAGTAAAAGATACTGTAGAAACTATGTTTTGAGCATTTCTGAACCATTGTTGATGTTTGTTGGACTACTTTCATGTCTCGTCCAGACTCCCCATGTAAGGGGGACATGTCCGACCTAACAAAACACATGTATGTGTGCATTCCTCTTCCTATATTTTTATAAGCCCGGGCGGGGGGACCCCCCTCAAAAAAAACCGGACTCCTGGGATTTGGGGCTTTGGGACCCTCTGGACGGGCCTCGAAGCGGCCCCCCGGGCCTCGCAGGGCGTTTTGCCCAGCACAACTACGGCGATCAGAGGGGGTCATCGGAGACGTCCCAGAGACCCCCAAGACAGCACAAGAGCGCTCCAAGAGTGACTGAAGATGGCCAAAGAGGCCTCCACGACGGCCCCCAAGGCCTCAAAAAGCCTCCAAGAGCACTCCCCAGAAGGCCCCAAGAGGCACAAATCATTCATTGTCTGTGGGTTTTGGGTGAATTTTGGGGTTCTCCTCTGTTCGGCTTCCCGACGCTCCAATACGGTAGTCTTGCGTCCGAAGCCGCCTGGTAGGTTCCAAAATCGCCCCACAACCATCCGAAAGGGCTTCCAGGCAGTCCAAGAGAGCCCCAAAACGGCGCAACAGGGGTCAAAGATGGTCCTAAGAGAGCCCCATGGCGGCGCAAGACGGCCCCAAGACACCCTCCGAAGCATTCCAAATTGTGACCCGGTCGTTCAGGGAGACCGCGGTTGGAGGCAGGGTGGCCCGAGGTAGCCCCCAGAACACGCCCAGGAGGCCTCCAGAAGGCCATAAAGAAAGCCCGAAACTTTTGTGAGGCCCCCAGAGGCTCTCCAAGGAGGAGCCTCCGCAAAAAGAGCTGAGGAGGATGTGGAAAATGCGCAGGGTATGGCGAGAATGAGGAAAAAGAAGCATGGAGGAAGGATAACCCATCACATCATGTTGGCGGCGATGCTGAAAAAGGCAACAAGGAGTTATCGCTAAATTGTCGGCTTGACCTTCCTGCCATTCCGCCTGCATACCAAACGTCAAGGACCAAGGTGCATGGCGCGAAGCGCCACTGCAGTCATATGTGTATATATATATGTATGTGTATATATATATATGTTTATGAATATTTTATTATATATATGTGTATATCCCGACAGGCTTCCCGCGGTACCCCCCGCGCGTTTCCCGCCAGCCGGCAGGCGGCGGGGCTCGCTGGTGTCGCTGGCGCGCCCCGGCGGAGAGGGCCCGCCCCTGGAGACTCCGAAGGCGGGCGCAGCGCAGCAGCTGCAGAGTCGGACCGCGCCGTGGCGAGGCCTGAGCGGCTCCGCGTGCCTCGGAGAGGTTCCCTCAGGGGAACGGCGGATGGCCCTGGACTTGCACGGTGGTGGTGTAGAGGTGCCTTCGTCGGAAGAGATAGGGGAACGCAGAATGACATACACATAACAACTCGGAGGTCCGCGCGGATTTCTCCGATCCGCGCTGGACCCCCCTCCCTCGCGCGCGGAGCGCGCCAGGGGCGGCGCCGGAGGCGCCGCCAGGGGGGTCCAGCGCGGATCGGAGAAATCCGCGCGGACCTCCGAGTTGTTATGTGTATGTCATTCTGCGTTCCCCTATCTCTTCCGACGAAGGCACCTCTACACCACCACCGTGCAAGTCCAGGGCCATCCTGGGCCCCGGGACGGTGTACGGACCCTCCTGGCTTCGGCCAGGAGGGCGTACACACCATGCCAGGGCCAGGATGGCCCTGGCCTGGCAGTGATGTATAGGTGCCTTCTGCATATCTCTTCCGTGGCCGAAGAAGACCAGGAGTTGCTCTCCTTGGCCGATCCATGGCAGCCAGGAGGGGTGGAGATGTGTGTCATCCCCCGCATCTCGGCGTTCACAGGGTCTGCGAGGCAGCGTTTGAGGCGTAGCCGAGTCCATACAAATAATAAGAATAGTGATTGAACTACCGAGTACGAATACAAGTAGTTATAATGACATTGTAATAGTAGTAAGAAGTTTAAGAAAAGTAACATTAGTTCGAGTCATACGGATACTGATGACGATACATATAATAAGAATAACAGTAATGCGAATAATAAGAATAATAATAATACTAATAATAATAAGAATAAGAATACCAATAATAATAATCGTAATACGAGTCATACTATTAATATTGATGGTCATGCACATAATAACAATCACGATAGTCAGATTAACATATTATCCTCACAAGTCACTCGTTTAATGGTTTGTGAGGTGACGGTGCCGAGGAGAAAAGACGGGCGGCTGCGACACTGCAGCCCGTGTGACATGCAGGCCGCTTGCGCCAGCTCCCAAAACATGCACGGCGTCTCGGGCGCGGTCCCCCGCTTGCCGGGGCTAGCCCGCGGCGGCTCTGCAACCGTTTGCGGAATGCGCTCGAAAGAAGGTGGTGGAGGAGGAGGAGGAGGCTGAGTTGGAGGAGCAGGAGGAGGAGGAGGAGGAGGAGGAGGAGGAGGAGGAGGAGGAGGAGAGGAGGAGGAGGAGGCGGAGTTGGAGGAGGAGGAGGACACCGAGGAAAATGTGGGGCAAGAGAAGGAGAAACCGGAGACGAGAGCAGGAACAGCAGCAGTGGGGGCAGGCAGAGAAGGATGGGGAGGAGCAGGAGCAGGAGCAGCAGAGGAGGGAGGACGGGGGAAAGCAGGACCAGAACGAGGGGCAGCATCAGGAGGAAGACGAGTGAGTACGACGCCAAGACGGGGCGAAAGGACGGATGGCGTCGACGCGGACCAGGGAGACGAATGGGGTACTCGTCGGTGGAGGCGGAGGTGGATGTGGGAGGCGATGACGAAGGAAGAGGACGAGGAGGTAGTCGCCAGAGGACAAGGAGGAGGAGGAGGAGGAGGAGGGCGAGGAGGTGGTCGTCAGAGGAGCGGTGAGGGCCGAGGACGACGTGGAGTCGAGGGTCGAGGAGGCAGTCGTCAAAGGAGGAGGAGGAGGAAGAAGAAAAACAATAAGAAGAAGACGAAGTGGAGGACCAGGCGCAGCATCGGGAGGAGGACGCCAGGGCGCGGTGACAGCAAGGCCAATGCTCGTTCGAAGTGAGCTGCCGCCCCCCCCCCTCTGGCGAGGAGGAGGACGTGGTGGTGATAGCCGAGGACGACGCCGAGGACCGCCGCGGGCCGCCGCGGAGCAGCCAGCCCGGGTCAGACGGGGGGCGGGCCGAGACGACGGCAGAAGCAGCCCCGGAAGTCCACGGCCCGGAACTTCTGGCGCGCCCGACCGGGAGGAGGAGGAGGAGGAGGAGGAGGAGGAGGAGGAGGAGGAGGAGGAGGAGGAGGAGGAGGAGGAGGAGAGGAGGAGGAGGAGGAGGGGGAGGAGGAGGAGAGAGGAGAGGAGGAGGAGAGGAGGAGGAGTAGGAGTAGAGGAGGAGGAGGAGGAGGAGGAGGAGGAGGAGGAGGGAGGAGGAGGAGGAGGAGGAGGAGGAGGGGCCCAGGCCGGGGCCCCGCCGGGGCCCAGCGCCCCACGTCGAGGTCCGCGGCTGGCCCAGGGCGGCGCGGGAGGAGAGGGGCGCAGGGCCGCCTCTGCCGGCCTCCTGCCTGCTCCCGCCGCCGCCGCTCCCTCCCTCCCTCTGGTTTTCCCTCCTCCTCCTCCTGCTCCTGCTCCTGCTCCTCCTCCTCCTCCTCCTCCTCCTCCTCCTCCTCCTCCTCCTCATCCCCCATTCCTTTGCTTTATAAAGAAGGTCTCCCTGTCGCACCCCGAGGTCAGTTTTCACGGCGGGCCGGTCCGTTTCGCCTGAGACTTCTTTACCACTTATGACCCTGAGGCTTAAACATTGACAACCGTTTCACAGGGTGGTTTTTTGAACATGTGGCTCTCGCCTTAGCCCCGCGCGCACTCGATCTCAGAATTTGCAACAGTTTCTCACTGATGGAGGCGAGTCGTTTTCAAAATGTGGTTCTCGCCCCAGCGCGGCGCATTTTTTCGAAGAGCTCCACGGATTGAGGGTGGATTGTTTTCAAAATGTGGCTCTCGCTTAGCGCCATTGCACATTGTTTCTCAAAGTTTCGCAGGTGTTTCACGGCTTGAGGGCGAGTCGTTTTCAAAATGTGGTTCTCGCTTTAGCGCCGTGCACAATAGAAATATAAAAACACGGATTGAGGGCGAGTCGTTTTCAACATGTGGTTCTCGGTTTAGCGCCGCGTACATTCATTTACAACACTTGCAAGAGCTTCACGGATGGAGGGCGGCTTTTTCAAAATGTGGCTCTCGCCAAAAGGCCGCGTACATTTGTTTTTCTTCTCTCCGACAAAAAATGCCCGAGTTTCACGGATCCCCACGATCAGCGTACAAAGGGCGTTTTATAAGGATTCGGGATCATGAGGGCGCAACACTTCCGTTGATTCGCGATGTTGAAGTCCCAGGAATGGCTTTCTGTCACAGTTCAGGATCGTCAAGTCGCAACAGTCAGGTTGATCCGTGACGTTGGAATCCCGAGAACAATGTTTTGGCATGCTTCAGGGTCTTCAAACGGTTGCCTTCCAACGAGGCAGGTCCCTAAGTGGACACGCGCCGCTGCAGGGGCCTGCGACGAGGGAGCTCGGAGGGAGGGTTGATTCCCACATCGCTGATGGCTCTTGGGTCTACATTGGTCCTCCTCCTCCTCCTCCTCCTCCTCCTCCTCCTCCTCCTCCTCCTCCTCCTCCTCCTCCCCCTCACTCCTCCTCCTCCTCCTCCTCCTCCTCCTCCTCCTCCTCCTCCTCCTCCTTCCTCCTGCGTTTCGGCAGCGCCCCGAGTCGTCCCGAGCCTCCCGCCCCGCGGAGCGTGGCGGCACGCCGTCCCCGCTCGCAGGGCGCAGGCGCGGACAGCGCGCCGCGGCGGCGGGCCGCCGCTGCGGGCCCATCGCCTTGTGATGTTACAGTTGGCCGTAGCCTTGTGGAAGTCGGTCAGAGCCCCGAATCATCAGGGGTAACTCGGGTCAGGGCTAACTCGGGTTCCGTTTTCGGGAATCCAAACCCGAGTTACCCTGGACCCGAGTTACCCCGGATAATTCGGGCGTCCAGAGCCCCACATCATCAGGGGTAACTCGGGTCAGGGCTAACTCGGGTTCTTTTTCGGGAATCCAAACCCGAGTTACCCCGGACCCGAGTTACCCCGGATAACTCGGTCGCCCAATCCACGGAGCGGAAGCGTGCTGCCAAATACTTCTCCAGGTGCCTAAAAGATGTTTCAACCATGTCTTCAACATGATTAAAGCATGTTCAAGCCACGTTTAGAGCATGTTTAGAACAGGTTCCAAACATTGTGAACAAATCCTTAAATCAATGACCGGATTGTTAGAGTGTCCATTGCCATGGGGGTCCAAGCAAACGGGGTCCGCCAGAGCGCCAGATCTTGCAGGATCTTGCAGGATCTTGCGGAGCCAGGGTTGCATTGACCCGGGCTTGGGCGCAGGATCCTGCAGGATTTTGCAAGGCCTGACTGACCTGGCTCTGGATTGACCCGGGTCAGAAGATCCCCGACAGAATGTACCGAGTGTGGAGGGTTCTCACTTGTCGGGCCTTGGGAGGCGATGCTCGTTCGACACTTCACTATAGCGTGTCGGGGAGACACCGTTTCCATACTTTCTCTGGGTGCTCGAAATGATTTCCGGGATATGGTCCTCAAGTACGATGGGAACATCATGACCCCCCTCCTCGCTCAGGTTCCAGGAGGGGCGCAACAGCGCTTCCAGCGGCGAAGGATGTATGATTCTTCCCCCAAGGCATTAGGGGTAGGGGGAGGGGGAGGGGGAGGGGGAGGGGGGAGGGAGGGAGGAGGAGGAGGAGGAGGAGGAGGAGGAGGAGGAGGAGGAGGAGGAGGAGGAGGAGGAGGAGGAGGGAGGAGGAGGAGGAGGAGGAGGAGGAGGAGGAGGGGGAGGGGGGGGGAGGGAGGAGGAGGAGGAGCAGGAGGAGGAGGGAGGAGGAGGAGGAGGAAGAGGAGGAGGGGAGGACGAGGAGGAGGAGGAGGACGAGGAGGAGGAGGAGGAGGAGGGAGGAGGAGGAGGAGGAGGAGGAGGAGGAATAATAATAACAATAATAAGGAAAATAAGACGAAGAAGAAGAAGAAGAAGAAGAAGAGGAGGAGGAGGAGGAAGAGGAGGAGGAGGAGGAGGCGGAGGGTGAGGGGGAGGGAAACGGCTCCAGAGGCTTGTTTTTGTTTACCGCGCTTAGCTCCCAGGGGCCCTCCACTGGCCCCAGGGGCGTCAGAAGCCGACGCAGGAGCCCGAAGATCTCGTTCTGGGGGAAGGCAGGGTCCAGGATCCGCTTCCCAGGAGGAGGAGGAGGAGGAGGAGGAGGAGGAGGAGGAGGAGGAGGAGGGAGTTTTCGTTGGCGTGGCTGCCTCTTCCCTCCTCACCCTCTGCCTCTTCCCTCAGGATCCGCTTCCCTCCTGCTAAATTGTGACCCCCCAGCTGGCGCTTCAGCTCCTGCTGCCTGCCATGGCCCGCGCAGCGCCGAGAGGCGCGGCTCCCGCGACCTTGGGCCGTTCACGCATGCGTCACTCTCGGCCCCACGGTGTTGTTGTATGCTGGTTGGGGGTTCACATGCTCGGGCCGGACGATAGGGGGGGATTGGGAAAGGGGGAGTTACGAAATTTGCTGCATGCAGCTGGTTTCGGCCTCACCGAGGGGCCCCTTCCTCGAGACATAGTCGCCTCTGGCGCCGGGAGGCGCCGGGAAAATCAGATATACGTGAGCCGATTCTCATACCCCCCCTTTGCCATCCCCCCCTTTCGCCCGACCCCGACATGCGTTCGACTTCGGGGGGGGGGGGGGGGGCTTGTCGCCACCACTGGGCACAGCTCGGCAAGCCGGTGCGCCTTGACCCCGGGAGGGGTCCGTGGACCGACTCTGGGCCGCCGTTGCCGTTGTCTCGGCTCACCCTGATCCTCACAGGGGAGGGGGGCGAAGGGCGAGCCACGGGGCAGCAGGAGGAAGAGGGAGCGGGTGAAGAAGCAGGGCCGAGGAGCAGCAGGAGGAGCAGTTGCAGGAGGATGAGGTGGACTGGGAGGCAGAAGCGGTGGGATGATGATGATGATGATGATGATGATGAGGAGGAGGAGGAGGAGGAGGAGGAGGAGGAGGAGAAGAACGGGGGGGGAGGACGGGGGAGGGCGAGGGAGAGGCGGAGGAGGGGGAGGGGGGGAAGGGCAAGCTAGGTGCGCTCGCGTCATATCTGACGTCCTACCCCTCCCTCCCATCCCTTACCATGGCGCTGATTTTCTCCATCCGCGGACGCGTGTCGTAGCGGACCTGTGGCTCCGCGCGCGCGTGCGTAGTGGGTGGTGGTGCGCGTGCATGCGTGCGTGCGTGTGTGCGTGGTTGTGGTGGTGGTGGTGGTGCTGCTGCTGCTGCTGGTGGTGGTGCTGGTGCTGGTGCTGGTGCTGGTGGTGCTGGTGTTGGTGGTGGTTGTGGTTGTGGTGGTGGTGGTGGTGGTGGTGGTGGTGGTGGTGGTGGTGGTGGTGGTGGTGGTGGTTGTGGTGCGGCGCGGTGGTGGCGGGCGGATGGGCGCGCGAGAAAGCGGCCCGCGCTGGGGCGAGAACGCCATCCTGAACGACGGAGGCCAAACACCGATCCGAAAATGAGGCCCACGCTGCAGCGGGAGCACGATTCGGAACGATTCGGGAGCAGAAATGAGGCCGGCGTCTCAGCGAGAGCAGCATTTTGAAAAAAACGCAGGCGAAAACCCAACTCCCGGGAATCCTGTGTATAAAAAACAGTACGCGGGGGGGGTCTAAAACTTTCAGGCCGCCATCGGGGGAAGAGGGAGAGTAGTACTCAGATTGAGTAATAGTGGAGGGGGATGATCACACAGGCATGATGGGGATGACAAGGAGAAGGCGGATAAAGGAGGAGGTGGAGAGGGAAGGAGGACGGAGGAGGGGGAATTAGGATGATAATGATGTTGAGGCTGAGGATGTTGATGATGCTGATGATGATTGTGATGATGATGATGATGATGATGAGTATGATGATGATGATGCTGATGATGATGATGATGAATATGGTGGTGATGGTGATGATGGTGGTGATGATGATGATGGTGATGGTGATGGTGATGGTGATCACGATTGTGATGAGAATGGGGATGACGATACTGATGGTGATTGTGATGGTGTTGATGCTGATGTTCAACATGATGATAATAGTGATGATGGCGATGCCAATGCTGATGGTGATGATGATCATCATCATAATGATAAGGATGGGGGTGCGGATGAGGATTAGCAAGAGGATGAACAATATGATGAATACTATGATGCTGATGATGCTGGTGACGGTGACGGTGATGTTCATGGTGATTATGATGACGATTATGAGGTAGTTGATGATGATGATCATGATGATGTTGGTGATGGTAATGGTGATGGTGATGGTAAGAATCGTGTTAAAGTTGATGGTGTTGATGATGGTGATGATGATGCTGCTGATGATGATGATAGTATCAACGACGACGATGATGCTGATGATGAAGATGATGATGATAGAGATGAGGATTTGGATTCTGATGATGCTGGTCACGATGATGATGATGCTGATGATGCTGCTGCTGATAATGACGATGGTGGTGGTGATGGTGGCGATGATGATGGTGATGATGATGAGGAGGAGGAGGAGGAAGAGGAGGAGGAGGAGGAGGAGGAGGGGGAGGAAGGAGGAGGAGAAGCAGGAGGAGGAAGAGCTGGAGGGGAGGAGGAAGGGCGTGAGGGGCACGAGCGAGGCGCAGGCGTCGGACGCCGTCGGGCCGCGACGCTGGCCCGCACGGCCGGGCGCCGTGCCCCGCAGGACGCCGGCGAGCTGCGGAAGGGGGAGGCGGCGCCCCTCCCCCGCGCGTCCGTGCCCCCCCCCCTCCTCCCATGCGGGCAAGATTTATGTCCAGATCCAGTGCGCCTTCGATGTTTTTTTTGGAAGGGGCGCCACAAGGCCGAGGTGCACTGGACATGGATAAAGATCATGCCTCCAGGGGGGAAGTTCATCCATATCCAGTGCGCCTCGGGCTTCTGGGGAAGGGGGCCCGAAACTCCATACTGCAGTGGGTATGGACAAAAGTACTGCTCGCATCCCAAACCCCCTCGCGTCGTGACAAAAATCGCGACGAGAGTTTTTGTCCCGATTTTCGGCCTCCGGGGGCCCTCGCCGGGCCCCGGGACCGTCAGGAAACGACGCAGGATGCAAAACCGGTCCCCGGGAAGGGGTCCAGACCTCTGCAGGGGCCGACGTTGCGGAAAGATCGCGACGTCGGGGGTCTGGGCTTGCGCTTCGTCGGTATCGTTTCACCGATCCCCCAAGGAGGACAGGCAGCACTGGTACGTCCTCGTGCGTCTCATTCCACGGCGCGCGCTCTCCGCGACCTTCCTGCCCGTAGCGTGCGGGCGTGGCGCGCAAGGCCCAAGCGTTCGGCTGCCCAGGTGCCCCGAGATGCCCGGGCCTCCCGCGCTGCGCCGCACGATCTCCGCAGCTTTGTCGCGAGCGGGCGCCTCTCCGAGGCGAGGAGGGCGCGCGACCCAGGGACAAGGGTCGGTATCGTTTAACCCATCCCCATCCCCATCCCCATCCCCATCCCCATCCCCATCCAGACCCCCAGCATCCTTGCACCCCAGTTGGGGACACCCACCTCGAAACCCAAAGGGGAAGGGCCTGGGTCCCCCATCTGGGGGGTCCATCGGCCACTGGGGCCCAGGCCCCGTTCATGGGGGCATCGGTCGGTGGAGCGATGCCCGCCTTCGCGTCGGCACGATCGACGGAGCGCACATCTTCCACTTCCCGGCGGGAGCGGGTCGACGCGCGCAGCCGTGGCGGGCGCTTGCCGGCCACGCCGCTCGGGAAGCGATGTATTACGAGATGGGTCAACCTGTCAAGGGATCACCTTCCCAAGGGGGTACCTGAACAGTACGGATGGATCACCTCCCCAAGGGTACCCTTGCATCCTTGCCCCTTGGGCCCAGCCTTTGGCCACTTTCGTTGGCCAGCCTCGTCCGAGAAACGCTGGCGTGGCCCTCCAAGACCCATGCATCCTTACAGCGCATCCTGCTGATACGGGTTGACTGTGCTATGTGTTCGGGTCGGACGCGCGTGCGCCTCCAAGGAGGACACGTAGTGCTGGTATGTTTCTGTCCGTCCCCATAGCGGGCGTTCCCGGGGCGGGGGCGGGGAGCATGTAACACTACGTCTCGTGCGGTCGCCCCGTGGGGACAGAGTCGCGTAGCGATAGACTTGCACACGCACGAGATGATTGGCCACGGCCGAATGCCAGTTCCCGTCCGACATAGACTCCACGGATACAGTCACTTATTTCTACGATTCGCCTCAGACAGCTCGTGACTGTGGCTGGGACAAAACACCCAAAGCGTCATGAGTCTTGTAAATCCCCAGCTGCTCCCAATCACGACACAGTCGTTGGTTGCGTGACATCACACCGCGGCTTAGCCGGGGCTTGTGGGGCTAAGTTTGAGAGCCATTGTTGGTATGGGGTCTCTGGAGTTTTGCCCTGCGACACGGATCGTGGGCTGGATTCCATCACGGTGACCGCTGCACCTAGCCAACACGCGGATGCAGATGAGGGTTCGGGTGGGGTTGACCTTGTTGACATCGACGTGCCGCCCGACATCGACCCAGTTGGCGTTGAGGTTGACGCGCCAGTCTCGGCGACAGCGACTCAAAAAGAGCGCAGCCTCCCTCACACGTTTGCTAACTCACACTCCTAAGAAACCCTTTTGCTCGACGTGTAACTGGGCAAAGGCTATACGGCGCCAACAAAGGAAATCGCATAATAATGGGGCTGGGGGCACCGAGACCATACGCGATCCCCACGACGTTCGGACACCTGACCACCATGGATCACTGGCTTGCGATGGATGACCTATCGCGGGGTTTCCACGACGAGACCGTGTGCGTGACTTTTCGCGACCGGGCAGCAGATTTCATAGCAGCACAGGGTGTGCGCGACAAATATGCGATTGACGTCTGTTTTCTTTATTAGTATTATTATTATTAGTATTGAAAAATACGCCTCAAAGTCCCAGGAGAAAAGTTATAACATTGCTATACGGACGGTGCGAGAGAACTCGCGCGCGCGCGCGTGCATCGAGTTGAAGATTGCACATGACCCTGACATCCCTGGCAACAAGAAGCTTATGGCTGTCGCTGAACGAGCCAGCGGAAATGTTCAAATGGGGACTCGGGCCCTGCTCGTGCAGGCCAGTCTTCACCCACCTTTTTGGGCCCATGCTGTCCGATACTTCTAGCACTGCTATAACGTAAGGATCCCTGACGAAGGCGAATCGTCATGGGAGCGCAGATTCGGACACGAGTTCGCAGCACCCCTTCTTCAGTTTAGCCCTCTTGTTCGATTCGTGCTTCCTGTGGAATCTGGATTTCGGATCGCCAATACAGGCGGGACTGTGGTCACGGGGATTTGCCTCGGATATGCACATAAAGCGGGGGGCATGGTGGGACCTGAAAGTTACGCGACATCGTTGAGACAATTTGATGGAGTTAGCATGGACGCGGGGCCGACGCCAGCAGGCAAGCGCCCGACCATCGAAAAGTCCGATCAAGTCTACAGCAACATTTTAGACGGTACTGCACAAGACCAGGAACCTAAGTTCCCAGTGCGTGAAACATATGAGATGGCACAGAAGGTTTCACACGTCGTTATTCCACCGGGCGGTTCCACTGACGGCCCAGCCGGACAGGGGGCCCGATTAGGTTCACAGACGGCACAGCCTTCTAGCGATTGGGACCCAGGCGCATCGATGCCACCGCATCCAGCACGAGGCGAGGCCGCAACACGATCGAATGATGATGATGACTCCGATGACGATGGTCCGGAAGGAATCAGCGCGGGCGATGCGCCTGCGGTACCTGGCGGTCGGGATCCCCAGCGAGACTCGAGACCCGATGATGATGCGAAACAAAAGCTCGGCCTCGCTCATATAGAATATAGGTTGGATCGTCGGTCTGACTTCTCGATGGCTCTGCCCAGGTCGAGAGTGCCTGAGCCGGGGCAACTGCTCGCCCGAACCACACAGGACTTAGACACTTTGGAATATTACGAAGACCGACGTACTTTTGCCTGGCTCGTCAAGGGTGAACTCACCGAAAAGTTGCCCTTGAAAGGCAGACGGTAATGTTGCAGCATCAGAGTCGCGTTGCATTATGATCCAGACTATGCACCTGTCACAATTGGGCCACCGACCCAGACCCGCGGCATGGCGCTCAACGGCTTAAGAAAATACTTAGTTCCACCAAACCGGGAATTCACCCAAATCGTCGGTTCAACATGGGCCATGCTGAACAGAGGAAAGCAGTGGAGCAGTTCCGACTTGAGGAAAAAGGGTTTCTTCGGGGTTGAGGACCCGGGACTTTGCATTGCCTTTCTCCGCGACGATGGGATCGACGCAGTCGATTTGCAATATGATAAACACGGCGACGCAGGTACTGAGCACCCAGCAGGCAATGTGCACCCTGGGGTTGAAACCAGAAGCAGAAATAATGGCGATGCGATTGTGCCAGATGAAACAGATATGGACTGGCGCACGTTGCTGCATCCTGCGGGGCCGGCAGAGGCACTTCCCACGGACACAGGCTCCGGGAGCGACCAAGGCACCTCCGATGATGAAGAAGCACGCCGGAAACAGACTTGGCATGGTGCGGCAATCCTGCGAGATAGGATTCCTCCCGACAGAGTCTGACAGGACCTGGCCCCCCCAAGATCCATGGCCTCACTTCGAGTCCGGCGGCCGCCGCTTCGCGACGCAGCGCGCCCCGCGTGCCATCGCAGCCCGCAGGGCCCCCCCCGCCCTGCACATCGGGAAAATAAAGTTCTGACGCAGAATATTTGTACAACCTGTTCACTGATGATATCCGAACTGTTGAACAAGCATATCAGTTACCTGCTGAGTTGAGCCAGCGCCGGACTGCTGCGGCCGTCGCTCGATCTGCGTCCAAAGCTGAAGCTGCGGTTAACCAAGGTGCCCGCAAAGCACTGCGGACCGAATGGGATCGGCTGCGCAGCATTGGCACTTGCGATGAGTCAGCCGCGATGGAATACAACGATGTCGTTCGACAACGAAAAGTGCAAACGACGCAATTCGGGCGCCCCTTCGCAATTTTGATAGAACTCAGCGCTCCCAGTGGGACACAAAGACCGCACATAGAAGGGCCGAGTTGCGTTTGATGGGTCGGACGTCAGAGATCAGCATAGAGAAGTAGCTTTGTTTCAGGAGCTTTCTAGCAGCCCTGCAACGACGCAGGCCAGCAAAGCAGCAGACACGCATGGCCCGCTTGAGGGACGCGGCACTCAACAGGCCGATGCAAGGCAGGCTTACACTGAGTCCAAGCTAGGGGGAACCTCGGCATGGATTGTCCTGCCGAAAACGAGTGGCCGCCCGCTTGGAAAGACATGAGAACCCCCCTCGCGTGATTTCCAAAGGTTTCATTCCATGTCATACATGGCGTAGTTGTTACTTCCACACGAAACCGCGCTTGTTTCTTATCATTTATGGCGATGATTTCGAACTTGCTGGACCAAATCTCGAAACAGGGATGCGAGTTCTGCGGGGCGCCTCCGGATGTTGCAAGGGAATAGAGATTGACCAACCAACGTTGGACGTTACTTGGGGCGTGAACAGAATTTGCTTACGCAGCGCGTTGAATGGCAGGGGGAGTTGCCAACTGTCCTTGGCCCCCCACCGTCAAAGGAAAAGAAAACTTCTGCCTCTGAGCTACAATTGGAGAGGCATGACGAGAAAGCGGGGGGGGGGGGGGGTCATCGGCGCAGTCGAGTGAGCCATGCCAACCTAGACAGCCGA